ACCACCCGTTCAAGAACCTCCGAGCTACCCCCTCCCTATTTTCGAAGCTCCAACTTAACCACCCCGAAGACTGACTGAATGTGATCTTCTGTTATCACTGTTGGTAACGCTAGAGCAATAGTGTGTGAGAGAAACAGCTGATTACACTAGAGAGGAACAACGCGTTGCGTGATGACTGTCGCTCAGCAGAATAGGCATGTGCAGAATTGTGTCGCCTTCAGAGAAGTGTATTTTCGACAGGAACTGTAGAGAAAGTGAGAGCGGCGATGAGGTCGCCTGAATTTGACTTTGCAAATCCCTTATGATAAGACAGGCTCATCCGATGGCCTGTCCCAGGAGGCAGCAGGAGAGCATAGCTGAGAAGCAAAGGCATAAGGGAGAACAGAAGGTAAGACGACCTACTAGTAAGACAAAGACAACAGCTGGCTGCTTGTGCTGCTCCCTGTCCATTGTCGTCGGACGGCGGACGACTACTGTCTGTGATGATGACAGTTTGATGAGGCGGGTGCTGGTATCTGAGGGGGTGATTGTTTTTCACAATCGGGCTAAGAATAGATGTTCACGAGTTCCCATAAGAATCATAGCCTCCATAGCCACTGTTGTTGTATGGTTGAGCAGTCACTACTGCTGGTGAAACCTGAGAGATGCTACATTGAACACTACTGCAATGACGACTGCAAGTACCGCTACTACTATTAGCATTACCTCTACATTAAATGTGTCACCGGGTCTAAGACCGGCCGGAACCTGAACCTGCATCGGCCTTCCAGTGGCGGGATCCGTAATCTGTAGAGTGCTACCACCAGTGGCCCCCTGTGGTACTTGAACTGTTAAGATTGCCATTATAAAGAGATCAACTGAATGCTACAGGCCAGAACGTCCAGAGTTGTTCACAGCAGAATGGCTAAGCAGCAAACCCGACAGAGCAGTGACTCGATCGGAACGAGTTGAAGGAAGGAAAGCACACGTACGGGGATGTAGACAGTGCTACTCTAGAATTTAGTAAACAGAAAATCTATAATGACGGGGGAGTCGTTGCCGGCTATGAGGTTTCGACAGCAGCAATCGAATGGAATCGAATGAGACTAGCCACATGCCTGACCGAGAGCACAGCATGCTAGCATACCTGACAAAGGATCGCTGGAGAGCTACCAAGCGGCTTAGTGGTATCCTACTTGCACACCATGCACAGCAAGCGGCAGAGCCAGCGGCATCTGCGGCGCTTGGGCTCTGGGCAGGGCCACTGTTGATGATGACAGTTTGGGGAGGGGCCTGGGTCGAATGGTGCCTGCAAGTTGAGACAGAGTGACCTCGTGCTATACAGCAGTAGTGGTTGTTATTACGGCCCACCGTAGCCTTGATCAGGACCACTAACAGGCTTGCCTTGTACGATGGTCGGCCCAAGCTGAGGAGTGACGATGGTAGTGTTGTGTGAGGAAATGATTATAGTACATCGACATTGAAGGTGTCCCCTGGATTTAGGCCGGCTGGGACTTGGACCTGGAATGGTCTGCCGGATGTAGGATCGATGATTTGAATGGTGCTGCCACCAGTAGCCCCTTGGGGTACTTGAACCGACACGGTTATCATAGGAAAGTGGGAGAAAAAAGAAGAAACTCAACTGTTCGACCAGATGCCACCTGCTAGGCGTGGATTAGGGCTATATGGGACAGCAATGGTAGGAGGAAACGTACTACGTGATCGGCTACAACTCAGTCGAAAAGAGGGCATGTGTGCTCTGAAGAGAGCCTCCACTACGTGTATGTGGTATATTAAGATCCCCCAGTGGGAGAAGCGTAATTCCAGTACTACCTACCAGTTGTATAGCGTGGTCCGTCGAATTCCGAGAGGGGTAAGAAATCCTATTAAATTAATAGGACGAAATTAAAAATATTAATAGTATTAATATTTCTCATATCTTTTCCACGAACTATTATACGGTTAGATAAGGTTGATATGCACCGCTAGCACAGAGGTATGCCTATCCCCAACGGCCACCCCCGCTCTAATAGTACATTCGGTGATCATTGCTATTATATAAGTCATATAAGAGTACTAAGCCCAGCTCTACCAGGAAGGAGCTTATCCTAGTATAACCCTTCGGCTCCGGTATAGTGTCGGCCTTTCCAGTGGTAATCCTACTCTGGCTTACATCCCTGCGGGCCATCCAAAGACAGGAGAGCTGCGGAGTGGTAATGGAGAACTTCACATGTATAAGCGAACTTTAAAACGTAGATCCTACTTGTGATGAAAGTGCGCGAAGTTTAATAGACTTCGGAGTATTTTTCTCGTGTTTAATCGCTAAGTCAGGCTAGCAAGATCATGGCTTAGGCTAAACTTCCTGTGATGAGACCGGCTGAAGATACCCTGTCATGGTCGAGGACATTTTGGGTATGGTATAATCGGTAAACAGTGAGCATGTTATCAACATTTACCAACTGTGTGGGCCGAAAGTTGTATCGCTGGTAGATTTGTAAACGCCCGCTGCTCACCTATGGTATTCGACGATTATTCCTTCCTGCTTGCAGCTACTGTAGTCACTCTGCTGGCCCTCGTACTGGGCAGGATACTTCATAACAGGATGACTCGGTCGGAAGAAGGAAATAGTAGGCTAACACCGGAAGACTCCTTCCTAGGTTGAGAAGTACCATCATACGTTGTTATTCCTAGGTTCTGGTATAAGGGGCTTGTCGTGGATGGAGGAGCACATGTACATGAGTGACTGCTTCCCAAAGGAGTCCAACATAAGGCCGGCCTGTAACGTCATCAACTGTGAAGTCTTTTTCAAGGCCGATCTTCCGGACGACAGCGCTGTTGAGAAGCTTGTGAAGGAGAATGTAAGTGCCTGAGGGTCAGTAGAGGTATCCACTAATCTCTCTCTATCTTGTTCAGTTGCTCTCATTCGTCCGCTTCTCGGCTGTGCCCGATGTGAAGTGCCATGGTTGGAAGATGGTTGATGTTGACTTGGCCGACCATGTCTTCACTCATGATCCTGTTAAGGACCGTCAAGAGTTGGACACTGAAGTCGATAAGGTGAGGACTAGTCGTGTGTCTGTGGTGCTTTTGAAGGAACTTTTGGGTGTAGATAATCAACGAGGATTTACCCAGTGATAAGCCTTTATGGCAAGTACATTTCCTACCAGCTGCTGTAGGAGCCCAACAGAAGAACTGTGTTGTTTTCCGATGCCACCACACAGTGGCAGACGGCCTCACTCTGGTAAGCTCTCTTGGATGCTGATGCCTCGGTGGAATACTGAGTGTTCAAGGTTCAACTGCTAGACAAGGTTGCGACTACTCCCGATGGAGAGCCTGTCACCTTCGTCAACTACAAGGCTAAAAAGCCGGTAGTTTTCGGTCCTATCAAGAAGTTCTTCTTCAACATCCTTTATTGTCTGGAATGGGTAATACAACCATTGAGTTTGGCAACTGCCTTCATCCCCTCTCCCAACAGGTCCGTTCATTCGTCTCGAACATGCACGAGGGTAGTCTGCCTCTCGAGACATCCTTTGGGTTCAACGCTCCTCTCTCCCATCGATCCGGCGATATGAAGTACAGCGGCGACCGCAAGTCGATTTGTTTCAAGCCTTTCTCTGTTGATTACGTGAAGGCAATCAAGAATAAGGCCCCTGGCAAGGTGAGCCTTAGCCGTACTTGGATGCACTTGAGTGGGGAGTGGTATGCTATATTATAGAGAATAAAGGTCATGATATCGTATTGATAGGTCTCTAATAAATCTATCATTAGTTTATAACACGTAATTTATTATATTCAAATTTGATATGTCATTAGTATTGTTTACTAGTTATGGCTTAGATTACTGTTAACGATGTGCTATTGGGAGCTATGGTTGGTGCTATGAGGAGATATGGTGGCGCTGCTGTTGACAACAACACCATTATGAGGATCCTTATACCCGTTGGGGCTCCAATTGATTTTGGTCCCAACCCCCCACCTGAGGGAGATAGACTGGGCAACAACTGGTCGTTCGCCAGTGCAGACCTGAGCAAAGTAAGGGATGATGTTCTTGTTATCATAACAGTTATCTGTGTTGCTCCGTCAGGCTATTCGAGCTGATGGTCCCCTGGCCCGACTAGAGGAAACTGATGGCGCGATGAATCGTCTTAAGAAGTCGTTGGACTCTACCACGTCTAATTTCATCAGCAACAAACTTATGCCGTTGTATCCTCTGAGAAAGGCTCAAGAGGCTACTCGAGCCATCTACTCAAGACACACTGCTATCTTCTCTAATGTTCCTGGTCCTACCCAGCCGTGCTGTATTGGCGGCAAACAGATAGAGGCTATCTATCCTATATTCCTCACACTTGTGGAGCAAGTGATTGTGATGTCATATAACGGCCAGTTTTACTTCAACACTACTGTCGATCCCAACGTGGTGACAGATTATGATAAGTTCGAAGGCTATTACCGTGAAGAGCTCTTGGACCTGGGCAAGCGTCTTGGTATTACCGATGTTCAGCTGTAAGCACTTATTGTCAGTGCAACAACAACAACAATCCGATTTGTTCCTAGTATTTATATAATATATAAACTCTGTTGTACGTGCTGTTGTTACTACCACTACTACTGCAATTGCTCTCGGTTTACCTATTCATGTTGATGAATGCTGGCCTCCCTCTACGTCTGAGGGAAGGCGGCCAGGCGGTCTCGTCAGTTACTTGTGTCTTAATATTCTTCTGGTCCTCCCTAAATCTTTGTGTCGTGACGACACGTTATTGGGACGCAGTTTCTCTACGCAATAATGTGTATTTAGTCGAGTTTTGTGAGGATACTGGGGAAGTCTGGAAAATGATAAATGCATCGTTACTTTTGATTGAGCCTTTACCTCGGTGATGCTGGTAGGTTGTGAGAACTGGGTTCTGGAGTTGATCATGATTCTTGAGAAAGTAAAGTGAAACAAACACATTGCCTCTGAGTTTGGGATTATAATTCGTGATGTGTAATAACAAGTGTCGTGTCGTGACAGTAGTTTGGAAGCATTGACTCCATGGTCTGATGATGGTTGGCGAGGAGCGAACAACAGCTAGTAGTTCTACTGTGCAGGAGATGGAGATTGGAAGAGAACTTAGTAGTCATGTTCGACGAGATTGCCTAGATGGTTTTACCTTGTCGCCGTTGGGAGTTTAATCACGCCCTATCCTCCCTTTGTTGGGTTCTGGACCATGTTACTCTACTCGGCTCAGTGTTTACCTGAATATGTTGAGTCTTCTCTTTGGTCAAGGCAGGCAGGTAGATGCTGTATCCGATGAGGGGGATGACAAGGAAAATGATGGCTTGTTGAGGCAGCGGACAGAGGAGGCCTTTAGGGTCCTCAGTAGCTTCATATTGGGAGCTCGAGAGCTCGGAACAACCATGGTACTACTGTCTAGGAGGACGCAGTGTTGGTAGGCTTTGGTCTGTCTACACTACACGGGGGCTGTCTTCGGGAGCGTTGAAGTCGCTTTTTAGGACAATATCCCCGCCTCTACTGTAGAGATCATCTTCACCTCCCTCAGCGACCTTAGTGGTACCATCAGGCAATACCCTCCAGCAACACATACGCTGCGGCAGGCCATCGCTAGGGCGGACGATGGTGGGGCTCTGTCGCTGTTATGGTAGAGACTCATGCCTGCCCTCCTAGAGACCCTTCATGCTGCAATTCGCCGATGCATCGAGGCCCTAGATGGGGTATGGAAGGTAGAGGGTTTGGCAGAGATAGAGGTCCTAGATAGGATTGGTGGCTTCGTAATGGGAGCGTAGCCACTGCAGAGAGAAGGGGTTGGTGGTCCTCAGGCGACACTTCTCGCCGTCCTTGTGTGTTCGAGACCAGAGAGGATGGCCCCCGGCATGGTCAGCCAGGCTCTGATGGCGATCCTGAATGTGATGACTAGTGAGGGGCTGGTGGAACTTCCTGGAGAGGACCCTAAGTAGTAGGGAGGGGGCGGGTGTAGCTGTGAGGAGCAGTTCGGGAAAATATGCACATAATCAACTACATGTGTCGGTGACAATATGAGAATTCTGAGAAAGTTTTGGGAGATTCTTGCTGGTTTATCTACACTTCTACCCCATTTCGTATATGAACCCTATGATGAGTGACGAAACCCCTGAGCTCAGCTGAGGAAAGCAAACACATATTCTTCCAACACTGGTGAGGAGTGCCATCTTCAGTGTGGTTGCCTGGCCCTTGGGGACACCTGATCTCATTGAAGACTATGAAGGTGACGTTGCAAGCCTGTTGATGTCCCTCTGTCGTAGCTTCCTGCTAATATCCCTTCATTGTTGTCCACTAGAGAGTCCCGCCGGGGAAGGAAGTGGAGTCGTCCTGGGACGCTTTGCTCATTGTTTCCTCACCCTTCTAGCGGATAATCATACTGCTGTTGCGGCGGAAGGGAGGGAGTGTGCGATAGGGGAGGTCGCGGCAATGATGACACGGGTAGCTCTTGTCCTCATGGACACGGCCCCCATTGATGATGATGGTGAAGCTGCCGATGGGCTTGTCTCGTACAGTCCTCAGCTCGGGGAGGGTCGCCGCTTTGGTGGGCCGAGGGTGGCTCCTCTGGTAAGGGCCATGAATGAGGTACTGGCTGTTGATCCGACGAGGGGGGAGGATTTATGGACAGCCCTTCTAGCAGCCTTGGAGAGCGAAGACGAGGTCATAGCTGGCCAGGGCGATGGCGCCTCGCTATGGAAGGCATCAGAGGTGATAGGATGGGCACCGTCCATGGGGTGGTATTTTTCAGCTCTTCAGGCATGCACCTTTTCCTCGGAGGCAGTGGTCTTATTGTGGCTGCTACTGTCGCAGTGCGAGGGCTTCTACCGTGGAGTATTCCCTTATACTAGGCAGCCACGGGGGCCTCCGGACGGGTGAGCATTTTAATACTGGATTGTCTGGGCCCGCCTCGATCGTTAGGTTGGAGCAGGCGAATGCCTCACCATCGCCGGCGAGGTTGTTCTTGCCCGTCGTAGGACTCATTAACCGCATTGTGAAGGCACTGGCTGAGGCTGGCGAAGAGGAGGAAGGGCATGACCAGAGTCGGATCCCTCGGAAGGTGGCAGATGCGCTGCTAGAGGGGTCCCCATCGGAGGGATATAGGACACTGCTTCCTGCGCTGGTGGGGTTATTGGTCATCATAACTGAGGATAGAGGGAGTGTCGTAGCGTTGAGGAAATGCGAGTTTAGCAAGATTCATGCTAGGAGGCTGAGTGAGGAGGGGATGATATCGTTGGCCCCATTCGAAGGGGGGTCCCTGTTGGACGTACTAGTAGTGGCCTCACTCCGGTTCATGCCCTACATGCCCGATGCCTCGATGGCCCTGGCTGCTTCCATCTGCAATGTCTGTCCTTACCTCTACAGTATACCGGCTTTCACTGCCGAGAAGCTCGAGGAGGCTCTACGGAAGAGCATAAAGGCTGCAACTAACGGTCGGCCCAGGGGGGAAGAGATAGCTGGGTTGTTGTCAGAAGGGGTGGCTGCTCTTCTCCTATGGAACTATAGGGAATGTACGCCTCTGGTGCTCGCCATGCTATCTCACAGTGAGGCCTATGATGCAAGCTTGGGGTTGAGTGGAAGAGTACTGCTGGAAGGGCCCCTTGGGGTCATCAGAACGGTGGTGGAGGTATCAGAAGAGGCAGTAGGGGAGGGGCTGGAGGAGGATGATATTAGCCATGACGATATTCTGGATGTTGTGCCCGAGACTCTAGTCGGTCTGCTACCGATCCCACAGGCCATCGTGTTGAGGCAACAGTTAAGTCGCGTGAAGAGTGATGAGGTTATAACCTTCCTGGCCCTTTGTCTTGGTGAGGATGAGGAGGAACCGCTGAGGGACATAGTGTTGTGGCTGCAACACAGCCCTGAGCTGGAGACGACTGCGCGTGGGTATAACATAAGTTATGGAACGGACGTAGCGGCACTGATGGAACACGTGGCTGTAGAGGGTGCTAAGGCGGACCTTGACAGGCTGAATGAGGAGGTGAAGGGCCTGAGCAAGAGGCTTACATGGGAGGAGGAGAGGCTGTTGGCTGTTCGAGAGGAGAAGGGAAGGGCTGTGGCTCTAGAGGATTATCAGAGGGCAGGGGAGCTGAAGGGGGAAGAGGAGAGGCTCTTACTTAGCATAGGACACTTGAAAAGTCTCGGCCTACCCGACCATACATGACCATTTCCATGCCGACTGGGATGCTTCGTCCGTCCGTTGTCAGCTGTTGCGTTGTCGCTACGATGGAGATCCTCATGTTGGTCCTGTCAGTAGTATTGTAGGGAATGTCGGACTCCTATTACGATAGTGACTTACTCTGCGAGTACTGCTCGACAAACTTCGATCTTCAAAACCACGTACCTAAGGTAGGTTCGTAGTGAGTAGAAGATGCGGCCTCTTCCTTCTCCCCTGCCAGTGTGGTAAAATAGGGTCTCCTTCCTTGGGCGACGTGGTTCTCGAGGTTTTGTCAGTGACGAAGCCTAGAGAACCACGTGATACGAAAAATCCTCCATTAAGGTTTGGTGATTCTCAAGCTTCTAATCTGTTTTTTACGATCTGGGACCTATTCCATAGAACACCTCACATCAGGGCGTCTTTGACCTACAAAGACGTCCTGATGTAAGGTGTCCTATGAGTATCTCTGCATTGTCAGGTACTGGGCGTGTGTGGCCATAACCTCTGTGCTGAATGCATAGCCTCCTTAGGGGAGACCCGGGGTTTTGGGCGCTTGATGTGCCCCTTCTGTCGGCAGCCGCATCGGCCTGGCGAGATAAGTGTTAACCCGGTGATTGTCAACTTGCTTCGCTCCGCCGCTGCCGGAATACTTGGAGACGATTCCTCCACAATTAATGGGGTTGGTGGCAGTGCCTTCACAGAGGGGGGCTACACTAATAGCGATGATAGTGATGATGATTGTGATGCCCGGAGTGACACCTTCGATGAGGACGCAAGCTGGAGCTACAAGTGGTATGAGGAGCGAGGGAAGTGGTGGTTCTGTGACTATAACAAGGATCGTCGATGGCATTACTTTGGTACATGGGGTGGAAACTGGAAGGACTTGGAGGAGTGGAAGACCGAGTCTGGTCAAGCTCAGAGTACTTTCTAGGATTCTCCTTTTCCTCATTATCACTTGCATCCTTTCCCAATTAGATGTTTTCATCTGTTCACTGCCTCTACAGCTACTTTCCTGAACGCTCTCCACAGCCTAACCGTTCTATGTATAATAATACCCATTGCCATGTACAGAGCACATTAATCGTACTATTATTTTCACCCTCAATGAGACTTCAATTGCAGAGGAGGAAGCCTGCCTCTCGCCGGGAGCTGTTGCGTTCAGTCGTGGTCACACACATTTTGTTTCGCTCCGCCGCCGCCACACCGGCGCGGTGGGGTAGGGGCTCCAGCCGCGCATCTAATACCAATTCATCTCTCTCCAAAAATGTCGGAACGAGACATCGATTTCGATAACTAGTCATGGTATCGGCCTGAAACTGGTACCAATCGACTCCACTCGGCGAGCTGAGTACAATGACGATCTTATTTTTTTAGTTTATAAATTGTATAAAAGTTATCAGCCTTTTGATCCACCCGATGATACTGGCCAGGTTGGATGGACAGGAGTAGCACCAGCAGTCGGGTTAGTCTAGTAAGTTAAGGTCGCGCGCGTCTGTTCGGGGGTTCCAGGTTCGATTCCTGGTAGAGGCATGAGTTACAATGGGTCTCAGTACTCATGGTAGGTTTCGGATACGGATGATATAGTGATCAATGCTGCAGCAGTGGGTAGGAAGAGTCTATTGTAGGTTCTGGTGGAGCAATAATGGTAGGTACGGTAGGTCCGAACAACCGGCGACTCTAGCACACACCTTAATTCTATGTAGGGCGTTTGGTGTAGTGGTTAGTGTTGCATGCTGTGATCTGAGTGATCTAGGTTCGAATTTGGATCTGATAATTTCTTCGAATTTTATAGTACTTATTGAAGTGTAGGAAATAGTTTTACTGTATAGCAATTAGTGTAGTTATGTGGAAATACTAGTGACACTAGCATACACCGTAGTATTGTATAGATAGTATGGTGTAATGGTTAGTGCTGCACGCAGTTATCCGATTGATCCAGGTTCGATTTTTAGTGGAATACTACTATGTCCTATTGGACTTATCAGAGTGTGAGTGACTTGATCGACTGAAAGGTAACAATCGACGACTTTAACACACACTATTTCTATATAGAAATTTCGGTGTAATAGTTAGTGAAGTAGAATGTTTTGCCAGTAATCCGGGTTCGATTTGAATTAAAGTATATCTTTCTATATTTTCTTGGTACTTTGTAGTGTTACATTAGGTTCAGTACGTGGAGTAGGCTTCGGATGTGGGTGATACAGTGAAAATTGCTACAAGACCGAATAGGAACACTGGTGACTGAGTTATAGGACTAATAGTAGGTACTTAACTAGGCCTTCGTGACGGAGGGGGGGAGCTCACTGAGTCCACATCTACTAAATTATCATCGGAAATCCCTCAGAGAAAAGTAGAAAGCCTTCTGCAGCACATGCTAACCGCCAACTGAGGTGCCGAATCAAGGGTTCGAAATTCCGATGATGCACTCGGGGCTCGGTGATAACCAAGGACTTTCGATCTCTTATCTCTTTTCTGTTGCTATAACTCTGGGTTCATCCGTTTAGTTTCCCGTAGTGCCTCTGAAATTGAGGTCATTCTCTCAAGAATGTGACTAAGCCAATCCCAGTTAGTAACTAACGCAATACTCAAAAACGTAAGTGCAAGAGAGGAACTAGGAAGTCGCGTGTCTCTTAGCACTGGTACTAGCAGTAGTGGTAGTAGTACTTGGACCACTAGTGGTAGAGCTAGTAGTAATCGCAGCAGTAGTAGTCGGGCTCATAGTAGTTACATCAGTAATAGTAGTAGTAGTAGTAGTAGTAGTAGTAGTAGTAGTAGTAGTAGACTACTAGTAGTAGTATTCGGACTGGTAGTAGTGGGACTGGTAGTAGTATTCGGACTGGTGGTAGCGGTAGTAGTAGTAGCAGCCGGATTAGTGGTAGTAGGAGCACCTGTAAGAGAGAAATATCATGTTGATAAGAGGAAATTATTGACTTACCTTGCATCGAATTTACTTCGCGAAGCAAGGTGCGGTTGTATCCGGCCAAAGCCATCAACATGAACTCATTCAGTCCATGTTGGGCTTCGTCCTGTCTTCCACATCTTCTCCACTTGAACTGCCGGGATCTTCTGTATTGATAATTGTTGCATCCAATTTACTTCGCGAAGCAAGGTGCGGTTGTATCCGGCCAAAGCCATGAACATGGACTCATAGAGTCCATGTTGGGCTTCGTCCTGTCTTCCACATCTTCTCCACTTGAACTGCCGAGATCTTCTGTATTGATGATTGTTGCATCCAATTTACTTCGCGAAGCAAGGTGTGGTTGTATCCGGCCAAAGCCATCAACATGTACTCATCGAGTCCATGTTGGGCTTCGTCCTGTCTTCCACATCTTCTCCACTTAAACTGCCGGGATCTTCTGTATTGATGATTGTTGTTGTTGTAATTGTTGTTGCTGTAGCGGTTGTTGTTGTAGTAACCGCGTTTTGGCATCGTAAACGGAACTAATGAAGGGAAGAACTGCAATGAATAATGACACATAACTAACAACACATGTTCATTCGATCTATATCCGTCATAACGAATATCAGCTCTTGAGCTTAAGCTGATATCAGCTTAAGCTTTGCTGTTGTCTATTTTGTACAGCTTGTGATGCTGACTATCATTCCTTGTTATTCTAACTGTCTTGCAACCATCTGCGAGGTTCCGCTGGTTTTTAGCTCCTGATATTGTTATCCGTTGAGCACTGCTCCTACTGGGTGCCGCTGGTAGTAGAGTCTTATAGTAACCCGGAAATTTTTCCTCTGTTACTACTAAGACTTAATTATCAATGGCATTGATTCAATGCCTCGGATGTGAAGTGCTGATTACACTCGTTAAGACTCGTTAGACTCACAGCAGATTCGGGAATATGATTAACATTGAGTTCCTCAATTAGAACCCCGGACCTGCCGCTTGCAAGTAGACATGCTCAACATTTCAACCGTTCCATCGTGTTTCACAGTGCGTCTTATCCTGGTTTGTTGGGCTCATGATAGATTGGACAATATCATTAATATGCAGGGTCTGAGATAAACATAATAGCGGGTCATCCGCAGGTGGTGCACACTTCACATCTAAGGCACATTTCAGGCCATGGGGTTTGCTAGCATATATCACTGGATTTGATTGTTATACTTAGCTCAACCGCAAAGTAGCGCTGTCTAAGGGTGTGGAATTTTCTAGTCTTGGGGGGGACGCTCGTGATCGTGCACTGTGATTGATCTGGCGTCTGTAGTCGGCGCAGTTCCGCAGGTGTGAAAGCAGAATCCGTCAAGAGGGCATTCCACTCGGGCTTCTGAGCGTGAGAATTTATTCAACACAAATAGCTGCGCGCGCCCCATCGGCCGATTCGAACATTGAATCAATAATCATTCTGTTGCTCATTGACTTCTTCCTTGGGCCTGTGCCGAGGCCGAGGATCCCCGTCTAGCGGGGCCGGCCGAGGCTCCGTAACTTGTCGCATATAGCCCTTTTCAGCTTGCATTGTAGTTGTGTTCACTCTTGGCAACCTACTCAGTTGATCGGGCTTTTATTGCCCTACCATATTCCCACTTATTCTCTCAGCCAAACTTGCTTCGTCATTCGAGACGGCTATCAGCCAGCAGTAGAACTACACTACCAACTACAACAAGTCGTTTTTGCAGCAGCATCTTAGGGTAGAGTCGACATCATCAATCGTTAGTACATGAGGTGTCACAATGTGTGCGACCCCATTCCACTGCGCGTGTTAGTGTGCTCTAGTTTCCCTTGCTCAAGTTAGTCACATATTTCGTATGTCGATCTTATCTGGTACAGAAGTTACTGCTTCACTTCCAATACAGAGGATGAAAGTTATCAGTCTACATGAAGTACCCCTCATTGGTTGTGGAAGGGCTACTACCAGTGACAGCACCAGTAAGAAGGTTTTGCACGCTTACCTTCTACACGTCAAGAGTGGTTCATCTGGTACAAAATTGCGCATCAGTCATCCTCGGTACGGCGCAGGAGGCAGTACTAAAGGTGGTGCCCAACGAAGGTTCTTGACTAAGCTTTGTATGATCGTTACCTATTGATGGGTTGTCTCCGTAGTGGTGAGACTTTTTCGCTGATAACAAGGACACAAACTGCTTCTGATTATTTATTAAAGGTACATTAGAGGGTACTCCTGGCGATTGCGCAAGGAGGGTTCCTTTTTGATGACTTAGTTCTGGTTTGTGAGAAGCGTTCACGAGTACTTCTGATCATTTTCTCCTGTCTCGATAAATTGGGGATTAATTTTGGCTATTCTATCCTTGCTCGATGAATACGGAATCATATTCATCCTTTTCTTGAGTCATAGATAAAAACCCTTTCCGATATCTCTCTCTGATTTCATAAACAGTAGATTATTATTGGTTACTCTTCGATCTCATAGACAAAGAATCAAGTTGATTCTTATAAGAATAGCTCACTTAGCTCACAAGAATAACCAGAGTTGAACTCTGGTTATTCTTGTGAGCTCATTGATGAGAGGGCAATTTCTTCTGCTCTCGCAGTCAAGGAAATACTATTTCCTATTGACCCTATTAGGGTCAAATACGCTCTATTGTTTCGAAAAGTGAGGAATTAATTCTGCTCACTCCCTGATTTCATGAACCAGAGATTGTTTCTGGTTGGTGTCGTCTTGTTTCGGGTGCGCTCTATAAAATTGGGTGATATCATCACGCTCTGTCAACCCTATGGCGAAGGGACTCTGTGCCAGGGCCCCTGGCAAAGGATTCTACCAGGTTGCTTCAGACTGATGATAGGCTTATGCCGTACACTGGCGCTAATATCCCCCGTCCCTCCCCTCCGAGACTACTGCTCGTTATTCCTTTGGTGTGATCATTGGTGGTACTATCGAGATCACCAAGTTTGGGCTCGTACTGGACACATGTGGTGGTAAACTTTGTGACGGTCTTTATGGTATTCGATGCCTTTGTATTGCTACCCCTCGTATTTCTTCTTGGGTGATGCGATTGGGAGTGGAAACGTTGGATGTGGATAGTGAATTGTCCATCAACAGTAGTTTGACGACAGAACTGGTAGCCACGAATAACATCAGAACGGTAGGTTTGAACATTCTGCTTATTCTAATTACTTCGTTAATTGCAGGTATCCCTTGAATCCACAATGGTCGAGGCCTTGTCTGTCTCCGATATCGCTGATGATGTCGTGAGGAGAGTAAACCACGACGGTGGTTGGACCTTGGTGGTTTGGTCCAAGTCTGCTCACGGAGAAGGTGAGACTGGCATCAAGCCCCCGAGATCTCATCTTGTTCGGCTGTTTCCTTCCAATATGCCGTTGCAAACAATTAACATCATCAAGGCACAAAGGTATTAATCATCATAGCTACTCCACAAGTCAGTCTTTCTTCATTTCACTTTAGATATCAAGGGGAACCACCCCCTGCTAATGGCCAACAACGAGGAGGTCAACAGCAGGAAGCTCGTCAACAACAGCAACTTCCACAACAGGAACAGGCTAGCAACAATGAACAACAGCAGGTATTTCAGCATTCCGCCTTTCTGTTGTAGCATTCCTCAGGCTAACGCTCGGGAGCAGAACGGACAAATGGAACAAGGGGGCAACCGGTATGGGAGCAATATAGCTTCCTAATGTTGATCACCTGCTTAGGCTATGGCTGGTATCCAGCAGCAGCTAGGACAAGGAGGAGGCCAGGTTAGTGAGACTGTAGTATCACTCTGGTATTGAGAAGTTGTTCAGGCCTTGGTTGGTAGACGAGAGGTTATAACTCACACCCACCATCTATTCGGGGAGTTTCCCTTTTAGAATGGAGGTCATACGCAACTCGGTCCTAACGCTAACAACTTGGCTGCTCGAGTGCGACGGGATGTCTTGTCATTTGTAGGAATGCGTTCTTTGATTTAGGTTGCAGAAGAGCAGATGGTGGAGGATGAGGCTGCGGAAGACGAAGGACTAGGGGGTTTGGGAACTTGGCAAGATGCTACACGGATAATCCGTTGAACTTGGTAAGATCTTACACGGATAATCCCTATGATATTGAACCAATAACATTGCAATTATATTAACTCAATTTGTGCCATATGATTTCATAGTTCATCTCAGGGCATCTCGTCATTTTCGTGCAATACTAACATTGCAAGTGGATACGCTGATGGGATTGCTATTTTCTCACCCGTGGCTTTTACGTGTCATAGTAGCATCATTTCTGAGTAGCCCGGGTACGGATATCTTATATCTTAGAGTATAGTCAATTATTGCGAGGGTAAAATAAAAGATAACTCCTTGTCAAAAATGATGCGTGTTCTTAGCTGACGACAACCTGGGCACTCGCATACGGTGGGTCTGACTGGCTCAAGTGTTCGATACAATGGCTTCTAAAGTGAGCCTATTTAGGCCACTTGGATCAAAAAATTCGACTTACACCTATCATAGTCACTCCGTCGAGCACACTAGCACGTGGCGCCGCAGGGGTCACCCCAAGTAGCATACAACTAAGTGAGTCCAAGTCGATCACTCGCATCGAAACCTTAGACTGAAACCCATCATAGTTATTCTGTCGAGCTCACTAGCACGTGGCATCGGATGCCACGGGTTATCATCCGATGATATCTCAAGTAGAACGCTGTCGAGGAAGTCTGATTAGGCCGCTCATAGACCACCATTAAGTAAAAAGTTGGACTGAGACCCATCATACCTGCTCAGTGAGGCACACTAGCACGTGGCGCCGCAGGCGGCACTACAAGTAGCACACCGCTAGTTTCAGGTTCTGATCGTGGTTTGTCTGGTATTTCTCCCTTTAAGGGAGTCCCTTACCTTCCGAGAGAGGATGTCTCCTCCTCCTCCCATCCACCCATCATCCTCCTCCTACTACTACTACTACTACTACTACTACTACTACTACTACTACTACTACTGGCATGCAGATCGTGGCTGTTTCTACTGGGATTGCATTGCATTCTGTTCGGTAGCAGTTACGCAATACCTTGCTGTCGATAGTAAAGGCCGGACCATTCAGGGCGGTGGGTTTGATACTATCATAGAACACCCTAAGGGGGAAGGACAGCTTTTAGTTGTCGATTGGTACCCTCGCCCCTGTAGCTGGGGCAGTGGGTGCCAATGTGCCAAATCGTCTCCATCATTTTTGCGACTGCAAATGTAACGAAACGGGATTCACGCCACATTCGTAATGAGTATGTGAATTGTGACGGTCATTGTCAGGAAGTCAGGGATTTTTTTCAACTGTTGAACACAAGTTTTGGTAATTCTGTGAATATCGCCGCGAAATATAAATATTGATGAGGTACTACAATTTTGTCCTTCCTCTGAAATCACAGAGATCCTGCTAAAGGAAGACGTACGTTGCAATGATGCAAATGAATATAACAACAATGGTTTCATCATTAGCGCCGATATAACGTAGCAAGCGAACGCTGCAGCTCACTGCTGAGCCCCATCCGATCACCGACTGTCCTACATTGGCGATGGGGTTATCCGCAAACCTCTAAGAATAGACAAGCGTGCTGATGCGTCAGACTGAACCAACAGCTGATCACCACAACCAGAGAGGTAACCACGAGGGATAGGTCGGGCCCCCACAAATAGCCCTCGAGAATTGAAAACGTGCATCAGGCGTTCCTCAGGCATCAGGAGTACAAGGTCCCCAGCAGAGGTCTCCTGGATAGATGTACAGCCCTTATAGGTACCAGTGATAGGTCGTGTTACTGATCTCCATCTACCAGTAGAGGGAGACCCCACATACAGCTTACCATCACCAGCCGACACCAGAGCAAATTCGGCTTCCCCCTTCGCAGCGATTGCCGCGATGGGAGCTACTCCCACTGGCAGGCCCCAGCCTTGGAGAAGAGACTCTCCGGTGGCACACGAGTATAGTTGATCATCGTCAAGCAGGACATAGACCTCATCCCTGCTGACAACAACAACGTCCTTGATCTCCTTATTTCTGCTGTACTCAGTCGCCACAGCGCACTTCAACGGTGACGCCGATACAGCAGGGCCGGAGGGGTACACTTCACGCAGCGAGTGGAAGTCCGCCACAAGAGTCTTGCCGTTACCAATACTACACCCAATCTTACGAGGGGTGTACCATACGAAATGCTCAGGGACCTTTAGCCCTTCCTGCCCTGCATACGTGATCTCGAATGGACTATCAGCTTCATCACCATCAGTAGTAGCCACCGTCAATCTACGTTCATGGACATTCCTCTCATTAAATGAAGGGTCGTATTTCAAGGACACCTCAGCGCTGGTCTCAGCAATGGCAAACAACCAAGCCGCCATTATCACAACACTACCGAAGCGGAACAGGAGATATGGTACTCTAACCTTCTCCCGGTGACTAGCATCAGTAGCTGCCTGAATGGCCGCTCTCTGCTGGTCCAGCAGGGCCTTAGACTTCAGTTCGAACTGTCTCAACTGGGACTCCACAGACTTAGTGGTCTCCTTGTAATCATATATGCCCGGATCCATAGTAGGGGAGTCCCACTTGATCTCGCCGGTTTCCACATTGAGGTAATACGGAAGATTCTCCCCAGCATCGGTCCTGTACCCCAGTCTTATCCACCCTCCAGTGGGGTTGAATGGAGTACCCGGCGTGGCATCTCCCTTCCCTCGCTCCTCATCCAACAGCTGTGCCAGTTTTTTTCTATCCTTTTCAAACCTCACCTTCAGTTTAGTCAATTCTTTTCGCTCCTAAGACATGCTCTGAATCACAGTGGATCAGCCTGGCTAGACCTACCGAATCTGATAGCAGATGATTCTCTTTCGCCCAATGCCTGAAGATCTTCTGCATATCCCTTTCAGCCTTACTACAGGCAAACTTAAGATCCTTGGAAATGTCGGGGTGGTACTCTCCCGCCTTGGCCTCGTCCTGCTGCCCAGTAGGCTTGTGCACTCCCCAGTCATTGATAGGGCCCTCCTCAGTGAAACCAGGCAAGCCCGAAGAGTTGATAATTCTGAGTGGAACATGCTATCATTGAAAAGAAAGTCGTGCACTACTTCGGTTCCGCCACAGGCTCGTGGACTTCCTTTATAGTCTCCAGACCGAACCCCAGCACATCTATACACCACACTGTAGAGAACTTCACGGGGAGACCGTTCTTGTCGGCCATGGTCAAGTACCTTACAAGGGGACGTAGGCAGTGTTGGAGGAATATACGTTTGCTTTCCGCAGCTGAGCCCAGGAGTTTCCGCACTAATAATAGGAGTTCATACACAAATTCTGGTAGAAGTGTACATAACCCCACATGAAATTTCCCGAAATTTCCTCAGAATTTTCATATTGTCACCAACACATGTAGTTGACCATATACATATGTTCCCACACTGGACGTAGGAAAATGCAAAAAAGGGGGGAGAGAGTAAACTGTAAGGGAAGAGGCATTCAACTTACACAAAGAACGTCTCATAGAAGAGGCCCATGATATGAGCCGATAGGGCGAATATGAGGGCCGGCCGCTCATTGACTTGAGGCAGCTACAGGGGAAAGCTGCTGTATGGGGTCCATGGACTATGCTAGTACCTCAACGTTGAAACTGTTACCCCATACATATTCACAGAGGACTGCAGCGCAATAGAGGAAGGGCGGCACGGCAGTGAGGAACGCCTGGGGGAAGGACGAAGGGGAATTGCGCAAATTATGGTATGGCAAAGATCCAAGTTTTACCATAATGGAGAATTCTGTGAAACTGAGGGTTAAGTTCATCTTAGCATTGAGTAAAGCCGCCACTGAACATAACGTTACTATAACGTATGCGGCGAGGGGATTGCGCCAGAAGTAACCCCAGTAGAGCAAGGCAAAGTATGCTAGTGCGTAGAGAAACTGTAGAGTACCTATTAGGTGAGCTGTAAGGAAAGCTCCTATTAGCAGTAGTAATACTACCCATACACATACACACTCTAGCATAAGCCTCATGACCCTGCCATTTCCTATGCAGCTGGTTGAATAACGCAAAGTGCTGCTTGAATGTATCCCATTCGGTGGTTAGATCTCTTATCTCCTGAAATGGACGACTTAACCAACTCTGGTGGCGGAACTCAAGTCAATAGACGATACGGTGAACGGCTGATACCATCCAACCCTAGTACATTCTTCCCTTTAACCTCCTTATGCTTGAGACCGGGGATCTTGAGGTTACTCTCCCGCGCATATTCGGTGACCACGGGGACACGAAACCATCCTCCAACGCCAGAACCTGTATGGGAAGAAGTAACGGATGATGACGAAGTGATCCAAGGCAGACCTTCGAAGTCTTCCAGCCTAGCTGAACCCTCAGAGATTTCCATGGCACTCGCGACAGGTAGACGTAGCCATTGGGTAAGAGACCTCACTGAGTAAGTCTGAGCCGATATAGAGGCATGCAGGGCGAGCCAGATGGAGAGGAAGAAATAGAAAAATGCGGCACCTGCGAGTGAGTAAATGTCAAAGATAAAGAGACCTATTGAAGGACTCACCCAACGTGATTGACCAGGGCCAGAACAACCAATTCGGCGCCAGGAGTGGTGTTCTTCCCTTGTAGAACATCTCCGTGGAGAAGCCCACCAGTAGAGTACTCACCAGCTATCAGTGGCAAAGGTGGTGATAGAGAGAGTAATCCGTAGAGCGGTCACTACCATATAACAATCCATCTTCCCTATTGTCAGGCCGAATAGATCTCTAAGATCCTCCCGATACAGCACTACTGCCATAACTCGCTGCTTCTGGTGCTGATAGAGGTTCTTCTGCCGCATGGTCCGATTGAAGTTGTACACTTCCCGATTGTAGCTGAACCATTCAACTCCACCGTCAGCGAGACCTTCAGCCATAATGATGATGTTATGCTAGTGTTGGTAGAAGTGGTAGTTAGGGTTGAGGAGCAGTAGTGGTGTGTAGGCCGTAGTAGGGAGGGGCGAGGCCAGCAACAACTACTGCCTAACACAAGCGCCTCCTTTCTCTGTAACAAAGCTCTGAGTTCATGACTCTACCACTCCAGCCCTAACACATCTCTAATTCTACCATATTGCCGCACTGAAGCCGATTAGTGTATGAAAGGTTGGACCGGCTAGTGTATAGAAACATCATAGTCTTATCGTCTGCCTATATCAATTTCGATAGCATAGATTTACTCATCGGCTACTATCGGCATCAAGACAAGTGAGTACACGATTTAACCACCATTCTGCAACACTAATCGGTGGTGACCATTTGAAGAGAACCTTCAGCGCAAAAAAAGACAATCAATACAGCGGAGCGATGCAGCAGCGTGCCGTACACTCCAACAACAGCCAACTACATCTTCCTCTATGTCGCTGACGTTATCGGACGAGGCGTTTGCCTACTCGGCAATATTCCCCGAGGCCAGTGAGAAGAGCACCTCCACTGTTGGGCTGAGGGCTGATGGACGGACGCTGCTCGACTGTCGACGTATGAAGCTTCGGTTAGGGCCAGCACTAGGCCAGTGTGAGTGTCGTATTGGCAGCACTTGGGTTAGGGCAGTGGTGACAGGTAGTAGGACTAGGCTGGGAACTGTCATAGGACACTATGGGCTCAGGAGAAGTGATCACTCCCCCACCAGAGAGGCCCAACGAGGGTAAACTGTTCGTCAGTGTGGATTATGGTGCAGTAGTCAGCAGTGCCACACTTCCCTCTGGGGACTCCGCAGGGCTGCCCGGAACGGCTCAAACACCCGAGGCTGTATCATTATGTAACCAACTGGAGAGGATGCTCAAAGGCTCCAAGTAGTACTGTTGGTAGGGCCGGCTGGTGACGAGTGTTTGTCAGGGCTGTCGATGTGGAAGCATTATGTATCGCTGGTGGCAGTAGAGTGTGGAGTGTTCGCTTAGATGTACATGTCTTCACTGATGCTGTGAGCCTAGGGAGGGAGACTCTCTTTCTCCTATCATTGATATTCATAGGGTAACGTCGGCGATGCAGCAGCAACAGCTAGCGTGGCAGCACTGATGCATTACCGGAGGTCAGAGGTCACCACGATGGAAGGGTCTACTGTGGTCCGTGAGGAGGTAGTAGTAGGGCACGATATGGCAGACCTAGTACCGTCCTCTATTAGCTGGAACCAATGCCGCTGTCGATCCATCACATGCCCCTCCCACTCACGTTCACATTGGTCAAAAGCCCTGATGGTACCACCTCGGCGGTACTAGCCGATCCCACCTCTCTAGAAGAACGGCTCAGCGGTGGGGCCCTACTGGTTGTAAGCACTACCACATGGTACGGGACAGTACCACTCCTCTCTCAGGTTGTTGTTAACCAGTACGGTGAGCTGTGTAGTCTGCTGAAGCCTGGTGGCACATCTTGTCCGCTGCCCACTGTTATCAACTGCATACATGCGGCCGCAGGAAGAGCCAAGGAAGTTCATAAGATGATCGCTGATGCTGTACGAGCTCTCTTGATCTGAGTTGTGCTATTCGTCATGGTGTCAGCTCGAGAAGGATACCGCCCAACGAGGGGAGCGCAAGAAGGATATTCACCACAAGTACGACACCAAGACGGTGTTGACAATCAACACTGATGGAATAGAGAGGCCTGAAGTCCAGCGGGAAGTAGGCGGGAGTGTGGTACTCATAGTCTCAGCGCTGTATCGTGCTTTTCTAGGGCAGTGACAGTGGAGCTATCGATGATAGTGGTGATGCCCCCAAGGCCAAGAAGGCTCGGGCCAACGTCTGATGTTAACGAATATCGTTTGTTCCTATCACAGCAGTACTTGTTGTGCACAGTGGGGGCTTTCGGATTCATGCCTATGCTAGGGTTGGCTCTCCACGTGAGCCTTGATGATTTCAGCCTCGTGCGGCGATATACCTCCTGCCGCTGCTGTGCTGGTCCGGACATCGCGGTTCCTCATCGATGCATTGTACATTGAATTGGAGAATATGGGCTTGCCGGTAGTGAGGGCCACAGAGAAGGCACAGAAGGCGTATGAGGGAGTTTTTGTATCCACTGAGTCATCGGAGGATCTCTTCAAGATAGTGCATCGTTCGCGGCTAGCTCACAATGTGTTGGGCCTACTACGTCACGATGGGGGCCATAAGGCTCGGGATAGGAATAGCCTGTATAGATGGGTTAAGAACGATGTACCCTTCCGAGAGGTATTGCCGTCGTTTGGGCCCAACTCTACCTTCTGGGTTAGACTAGCTGACGGTGATTACTCTAGTACGGTTGGCATGAGGAATGTGGAGGTGCAGCGAGCGGTGCGCCATGGTTTGCAGTGCTACTTCCATAAAGGGTTTGGTTCGGTCCCTCGACCCCTCAGGGACCATCCTGACTTTCTGTTCTTCGTCACACCCCCTGAGTGTGGGATTGGCCTTTGGGTCGACTACGGCTACCGTAACGGAGTGAAGTCTCTCAATTCTGCAGAGGGTGGCCCGTTAATCGAAGATAAGCGTTGCCCTGGTAGGAATTTGAGGAGCTCAGTAGCAGCCGCGATACTCTGCGGGGCACGCTACGTTCCTGGGAGGGATGTACTTGTCGACCCCTACTGCGAGGACGGGGGTATATTTCTAGTTGAGGCAAGGCGATGGGCCCAACGTGTTGATCCTGGGATGAACTCTGAGGCAGCATCGGTCAGGCCATCAGCGTTCCCGGGCTCTGATGACCTATGGCGTAGTTTGGTAGAAGAATCAGCATCTCGTCAACTGTGCTCTGATGATTCTGTCCGAGTATACGGTACCAGCACAGACCCTGTGAATCGTGCCAGGGCTCGGAGGAATCTGCCAGGTAGTATCGTATCAGCGGCCTCCTTGGTAGAGTACGTCCCTCCCGAGTCCCCAACACTTATCGTCACTCGCTCGCCTCGACAGGCGTGGTCATCGCCGGAAGTAGCAGCGGCATGGGTGGGTGAATTGAAGGAATGGGCCTCGGGTTTCCGGGCCCCAAGAGCCTTCGTCCTGCATGGTCCTGGACAGCCCCTTCCCTGTGCCCAGGAGGTGCTCTATCTCGGCCACTATGGTTCGCTATACAAGTTGCTGCCTGGTCAAGCAATGAGGCCGTAACGACCGTGCATGAATAGCAATCGTTTCTGTGAAGTGTTTCTTCGTTGTGCTGATAGTCTGCACTAGGGATACACCGTTAGAGTTGCCCCCCTCATGAGCTCAGTGCCAGCACAGCTCTCCCGAGCTGGTAGGCGGAGGCTAGCTGCTATGCGTAAAACTACTTCCCTCATTGAGTCGGACACGTCCTTGGTCCGAGAGCTGGCCAATGATATCCGATCGGCCAGCGGTGGTCAGGCCGAGCAGCCTCGTATACCCATCCGTAGGCTACATGAGGTCCTAGAGGATGCCCTTCCTAAGATGCAAGGGCCACCGTCTCTCGACATGCGGCTCATACTGCAGCACTATCATCACAAGCTCTACCTCTCGACGGACTCCTCCTCAGATTATGTGGCGGCTCTTGCTCTACTGGCCACAAGTGCTCAACGATTGGACTCGAACGTGGGAGATATGGTTAAGCAATGCTCACAGGTTATCATGGACGGTCTCCACAATGCCTCTCTCAAGAATAAGAAGACAGCCGAGCTGGCCAACGTCCACACTCTCCTCAAAGTCTTGACAATATGTGCTAGGCTGCACTTGAGGGGCTGCCCTCCGCCCGATGCCCTACCCCGTCGTATCGTTACTGTTTTATGCAAGGAACAATTCGCTGATAAGTTTCTGACAGAAGTCTCGGCTCAAGACGCATGGACGATGCTGCGGTCATTGGCGGCTATTCGCATCACCTCTCCGGCTGGCCTCTACCTCGTGGATCGTTATTTCGATCAGAAGGGCCGAGTAGAGCAACTGTCTCGTGTGAGGATGGTGCAGATGGTCGAAGCTCTGTGTATGCTCCGGTCGCGGGGTCAGGCATTGGAAGCAGTCTGTGACCACTTAGCCATGCACGTTGTAAGAATATCTCCTCAACAACGACTATCCCTGATACGCTCCTTCGCCATGGTTAATGCCGCACCCAATCTCCTCTACCTTTTCCTGCACAGCGGACGCAGGTGGCGTTTGAAGTTGCCTATTAGCAGTCAAGCTGAGATGCTCAGTAGTTTCGCTCAGTTGCGGCTACGGCCACGGAGTAGCGTGTTCTTCAAGGATCTCCTCCTTACCGTATTGAGGGGGCGAAAGAGAGCAGATGTCGATCCACTACGACTGTGTCATGATTTGTTCCTGTTGGATATGTTCGACGAGTCCGCCTTCAAGCGCTTGGAAGCCGCTGTAGGCTCACAGGACTGCATGGAGATACCCCTAGAGGAGGCATGCAGGGCTCTGGCCAGCCTAGGCTACTTCTGTTACGGCCGGCCTGCAACCTATGATGTGTTACTAGCGCAGGTCGGGAGGTTTGAGGCAACTCTCTACCAGAACAGGAATTGTCTTGTACAACTGAAAGTGAGATATTTCAAGGCCGACAATTGAGCCGATCTGTTGTGATCTCAGAGTCTCGAAATCGCCTTCCGCATAGGCCACTCAGCCTTTCCAATATCAAGTCTGAGCCCCTCCGCCCAGCAGACTTTACTGCGTATAAGGCATGCTGAGATAGCAGACTTGGGCAGAGATGCTGCCCCCACTAGCTGGACACAAGATCTCCGACGTGTAGCCGGCCAGGTCGGTGCACTGTCAACAGGTCGGTCTTGGCCTTCGAATGCCGCGTCTTTAGGTTTGCAATAGAACTTATTTCAACATAACGGTCGGGCCTTTCATAGTGGATTTCGTTCGGACCTCCGACGGTACTCCTCAGACCAAATTAGACAGAGACGGGGATGAGAGGCTCCAGGCTGTACGTCAATGCGTCGCTCTAGAGCCTTTGAAAGGTGAGGGAGACCTTCCCGACCTGTTGGGTATCCTGCCCAGGTCAATGCTTCTACCGCGGTAGTGATCACAATGAGCTGACTTCTAATAGCAAGTACAGACATTTACTACTACGAGGGCTGGGTATTGAGATATGCTCAGTGGCGAAGGAGCAGTGGATGGGTATGAGCACAGATGCAGAAAAGGTCCACTATATCAGGGAGATCGTTGCCGAGGGTATGGCCCGGTTGAAGGAGAGAAGGAAAGAACATGCACGAAAGATTAGTCAGATCAAGTGGCAGAAACGGGTCGATGCACGGAATGTTTCTTGATGTCGCATGGTCTTGTTTCCGACCATAAAAATTGTTGTACTCGAGTTGAAATGCGGAGTGTCTGTCCCTTCCTCTTCCGCCACTTACTATAAAATCAAAGCAGCAAGAAGTTAGATGAAGTAATATTACAAGTGATTGTAACTATGCAGTGGAGGCTTTACAGGAGGAAGATCGTGAGCTCTGGCGGTTGCTTCTTGTTTACCATCTCGCCTCTCGAGGAAAACATCGGCATCATTTAGTAGCTCCTCGGCCTTGTGTGAAGGCCCGGAATTGTCGCTGCCCATTGCTGCCCGGACTTCCATCTCTTTGTGGTCCAAAGATCTTTGCTTACCAGTTCTCACCTAGATCGACTCACTTTACCCATAGCACACCATAGACACCGACCTGGACTCTAGTCTGAACACCCGAATTCGCTGTGATGATCTCATCATTGACCAGCACTGACGTTATGCCCTCCATCCCCTTCATAGAATCCGAAACTTTGCCAATCCCACCAGAGGTAAAGTAGTTCTCTGATATGTCCAACAGCCGTAGGTAGGAGAGCATATTGAGCATTTCGCACAGCAAAGGCACAGCCTCATCAGTGAGATCTGATCG